TGTCTTTTTGAAGCAGGTTCCAGCTGTCCTGGAACTCACTATGTAGACCAGGCCAGCCTTGAATTCACAGAGATCCACCTGCCTCTGCCTCCCAAGTGCTGGGACAACAGGCGTGTGCTACCACTCCCAGCTAAATAAAATATTTTTAAAAAATATTTTAATCATTTTTATTTTATGCGTATGAGTATACTGCCTGCATGTATGTAAGTGCACCCATGTTGTACAATGCTGGAGTTATGGTTCATTGTTAGCCATATGTGAGTGCTAGGAACTGAACCCAGGTTTTCTGCAAGAGCAGCCAGTACTCTTAACCACTGAGCCATATCTCCAGCCCCTGACCCATTCTCTTCATGGAAGTTTCCTCTGAGCCACTCTACAGGACCCTAGTCTGTCCTCCAACCCTTAACCCTGACCTTTTTTTCCCAGGGGTGTCTGTGGGTGCTTTTGGAGGCTCTGACAAAGTCTTGTCTCCTTAGACCTAGCCTGTCTACATGACCCCTCTGACATTCTCTCTCTATGACCCTCTCACCCTAGGCACTGGCACTCGGCGGCTGGTAAAGGCCTCATCTACAGGCACTGAGTCCTCTGATGACTTTGAGGAGCGAGACCCTGGTAAGACCAGATGTGGGTGGGCAGGTGGGTTTGCAGGGGGAGGCGGTCCTCACAACTCTGACCCTACCTTTCTGCAGACCTGGGGGACGGGATAGAGAATGGGCTGGGCAGCCCCTTCAGAAAATGGACACTGTCCACAGCAGCCCAGACCCACCGTCTGCGACGGCTTCGGGGCCCAGCCAAATGCAGAGAGTGTGAAGCTTTTATGGTCAGCGGTACAGAGTGTGAGGAGGTGAGGCCTGGGCTGATGACCTGATGACTTCTTTTGACCTCCACTTATTGTGCTGACCCAAGATCTCTAACAGCCTTTTTTCCTCTAGAATTTACCTTGATCTAATAAATGCTATCTTTATTTTTATATTTATTTATTGTGCATGTGGGTCAGGGGAGAGTGTGTGTGTGTGTGTGTGTGTGTGTGTGTGTGTGTGTACCATGGTGTCAGTATGAAGATTAGAAAACAACTTGGAGGAGTTGGTTCTCTCCTTCCACCGTGTGAGTCCTGGGGATCAAAGTCGGGTCTTCAATCTTGGTCACAAGCACCTTTTATCTGCTAAGCCATCTTGCTAGCCCCTTCTGATGATCTCTTAACCTTCTTCTCCCTGGGCATCTTGATAACCTTCTCATCTCCTACTGACCTCCTGAGGACCTCCTTATGACCTCCCTCCCACCCTCCCAGTGTTTTCTGACCTGTCATAAGCGCTGCCTGGAAACCCTGCTCATTCTTTGTGGACACCGGCGGCTCCCAGCCCGGATTCCTCTCTTTGGAGTTGACTTCCTACAGCTCCCCAGGGACTTCCCTGAGGAGGTGCCCTTTGTGGTCACCAAGTGCACAAGTGAGATAGAGCATCGAGCCCTGAGCATTCAGGTAGGTACCTTGCAGACTCTTGACTGTCCCCAAGAATGACCTGTCCCCACTGACGGCCAGATCATAAGCCAGGTGTCTCTCACCCTACAGGGTATCTACCGGGTCAGCGGGTCCCGGTTGCGAGTAGAGCGACTGTGCCAGGCCTTTGAGAATGGTCGTGGGCTGGTGGAGCTGTCAGGAAACTCTCCTCACGATGTCACAAGTGTCCTCAAGCGGTTTCTTCAGGAGGTAGGTGGCTCTACACTGGAGGTGGTTGGCAGGGACCCAGTGGCCTCTGGCTGAGGACCCTCAGCAGCCCACCCACACTCCTGTCCCTGCCAGCTCACCGACCCTGTGGTCCCCTTCCACTTCTACGACGCCTTCATCTCTCTGGCAAAGACCCTGCATGCAGACCCTGGGGACGACCCTGGGACCCCCAGCCCCAGCCCTGAGGTTATCCACTCGCTGAAGACCCTCTTGATACAGCTGCCCGACTCTAACTACAGCACCCTACGGCACCTGGTGGCCCATCTGTTCAGGTGTGCATGGGTCCCCAAGCTTCAAATCATGGCCCCCTTTTTCCTGCGCATGTGACTGCTGACCTTTGTGGCTGATGCTAACCTCTGACCTTTCACCTATTTTCTGAGCTCTTTGGGTACTGACACCTAACCCCCAACACTGGACATGCAACTAACTGGTCTCAAACAGTCACTGGGGACTACTTATCTGTGACATGGCCCAGTCCCCATCAGGCTGGCCTGCAAGTCCTGTCCTTCACCAATGCCCATCTCCCATGCTTGACCATTCTTTCATCAGGGTGGCCGCGAGGTTTGAGGAAAACAAGATGTCTGCCAACAACCTGGGAATCGTATTTGGGCCTACACTGCTGCGGCCACCAGATGGTCCCAGGGCTGCAGGTGCCAGCCCTGCAGCCTGCCTACTGGACTCTGGGCACCAGGCTCAACTTGTTGAGTTCCTCATCCTCAACTACGAGCAGATCTTTGGGATGGATGAGCTTCCTCTGGCCCCTGAGCCCTTGCCCCAAGACCCCTGCCCAGCTCCTGTACCCCTGGCATCCAGCCCCCGGCCCCCAGCCCCATTTCTTGTCCCAGACACACAGCCCCCAGCCATAGCCTCAGACTCTAGCCCAGACCCCAAGCCCCACGATGCCCTGGAGAAGCAGCCTATGGCCACACCCCCTGAGGTAGGACTCTGCTGGGCCCATGGAGCTGGGGAGGGCCTTGGCTGTGTTTAATTCTCCTTTTTCTTTTCTTTCTTTCTTTTTCTTTCCCCACAACTGGATATTGAACCTGGTATGTGTTAGGCATGCATCTACCACTGAATCATACCCCCAGCCTTCTGTTTACTTTTTATTTTATGGCAAAGTCTCACTAAGTTTCCAGCTTGGCCTTGAACTCTCTTTGTAGGCCAGAGTGACTGAATTTAAGGATCCTCCTGCTGCAGCCTCCTGAGTGGCTGGGATGACAGGCTGCCTTTTTGTCATGTTGTTTTGAGGCAGGATCTTTTGGTTCCTTCCTCTGTGCTAGAATTACAGTTGGGGTGGGTACCACCATGCTAGGCATTCTTTTTTCTCTTTAAAATGTATATATTTGTGTATTTATTTATTGTGTGTATATGATATGTGAGTGTGGTACATCCATATCATGATTTGTGTGGAGGTCAGAGGACAACTTTCAGGAATCAGGCTCTCTCTCTATATATCTATCTATCTTGTTGAGGGAGGGGCTCTTGTTTCTGCCACACTGCCTACTCCAGGCTGGCCTGAGAGCTTCTGAGTGAGTCTCCTGTCTCCCCATCCCATCTCACCATAGCGCTAGGATTACAGATGTTTACTGCATCATCCTGTTTTTTTTTTTTTTTTTTTTGTTTTTTTGAGAAAGGGTCCCCCTGTAGCCCCAGCTGGCCTCGAACTTACTATGTAGACCAGGCTGGCCTCAATCTTAGAGAGATCCACCTGTCTCTACCTCCCTAGTGCTGGGATTAAAGGTGTGCACCACCACGCCCGGCCATACATCCAGCTTTTTAAAAAAATATTTTACTATTTTATGTGTATGAGTATATTGTCTGCATGTATGTAAGTGCACCCATGTCATGCAGTGCTCATGGAAGTCAGAAGAAGAGGCAGGATCCCCTGGAACTGAAGTTAGGATGGTTGTTAGCTACCATGTGGGTGCTGGGAATCAAACCTGGGTCCTTTGCAAAAGCAATCAGTGCCCTTAACAGGCCCCACATCCAGCTTTTTGACTGATTGAACTTGGGTCATCAGGCTCGAACAAAGAGCGCTTTTTCACTGAGCCATCTCACCTGCCCCTCCCTTTAAAATTTCTTCCACTTTCTTCATCTGGTTTGACTTGTGCTGGGTTTGGGGTGAAGGTGGGCAGTAGAGTAACGGCTGGGTCAGCTCTGCCACTGTGCAGTATGGTCATCTCCCATTTCTAAAAGTATCATGCACCAAACTTTGCTGTAGACTTTTCAGATAGATCAGTGAGATAGATACTCAAAGACTTCTTCCTCCTGGTGTCCGAGTCCTAGTGGAAAAAGGCTAAGCATGACATCAGTCACAGACAGCATTACAAAAGGTGCTATAGAGAAAAGAGAATGAGTGCGGGGTGCGACTCATGGTAGGAATGCGGGGGTTTGCTGCCGCAAACACGATAGCATTGGTCTTAGAGAATAGCTGGATGTTGTTATTTTGTTTTGTTTTTTGAAACAGAGTCTCCTTGTAGCCCCAACTGGCCTGGAACTCGCTATGTAGACCAGGCTGGCCTTGAAGTCACAGAAATCCGCTGGAATAGGTAGATTTGAGCAAAGACTGGCAAGATGTGAGGGTGGGATGTGTGGCATGGGCAAATCTGAGGAAAGGTGTGCCAGGCACAGGGAACAGCCAATGCAAAGGCCGTGGGGTGGTAACATGCCTGCTGTGTCCAGTCCTGCACTGTAATGAGTGGATGAGGGAAACAGGAAAGAAGGAAGGCCTGGCTGCAAGTGTCCTTGGTGGTAGAGCACTTTCCTATCACGTGCCAGGTACTGGGTCTGATTCGCAGCACTGTAAAAAAGTCTCTGCCAGCTTCTGTTAAGTTCAGCACAGGGTGTGAGCTACAGCTGAGCACTGGCCATGCACACTGTGCCCAGGCCTTGGAGGGAATGACTGTAGGGGCCACACAGATAGTCCTATATAAGAGGCAATACTGTTGTCAAAACTATTTGCAGATGGTTAAGGCTTTGAGCTATAAGTAACCCTGAGTGGAGAGTGGTAGTCAGATTCTAATGGTGCTGACCAAACAGGGCCCAGAGCTTAGCCATGAAATGGGGAGACAGCCACCGTGGCCACTCTGGGAAGCCAGAGTAGTCCATGTCCAAGGCCTATACACAGGACTACAGTGAACTCACCTCTCCCTGGAGATCCTCCTGCTTCAGCCCCCTGAGTGGCTGGGATGATAGGCTGCCTCACAGTTCCTGGGTATCCATGGCAGCATAGAGCTTCACCTCAGAACTCCAGTGGCTCAGCGTGAACACGGGACAGTGCTGCATGGAAAGAGAGTCCAGCTGCTGTCTAGTTAAAGGCAAAATAAGACTAATACTAGAAAGCAGATGGAGGGTGAAGGTACAGAAAGTGCAGCATAGGAACTGGCCTGTGGAGTTACTACCTGGTCCCAAGACACAGCTGGCCGAACCTCCCTTGGCTCCCTCCTCTGCTGACCAGTCTATCCTTAGTAAGTCCAGAGTTAACTAGCTGCTCTGTAGGAGCGGGGCTTTCAGGCCAGGCATGGTGGTGGTACATGCCTTTAATCTCAGCACTCAGGAGACAGAAGCAGGTGGTTCTCTGTGAGTTCCAGGCCAGCTGTGGCTGTATATTGGACACTTATCTGTTCCCAAATAACAAACTGCAAAGGAACTTTTCCATACCAGGAGCAAACCAATGGCTTTCCAAGTCTCAAAACTCTGGGACTTTTTTTTTCGGGGGGGGGATTAGGAACATGTGTATGGCGTCTGCATGCAAGGGTGTGTGTACATGCGCCCATGCAGAGGCCAGAGCAGGACGCTGGGTGTCTTCCTCTGTTACTCCTAGTTTCTATTGTCTTGAGACAGGGTCTCTCAGTGAATCAGAAGCTAGCTGTTAGAACTAGGCTGCTGTGTTGGCGAGCTTCCAGGATCCCTGGCTCCACTACCCCAATGCAGGAGCTGCAGGCATGCACAGCCATGCCTGGCTTTTCACTTGGGTGCTAAGGATTCACACTCAGGTCCTCATGCTTGCACAAGTACTCTTACCCACTGAGCTGTCCCCTCTGCTCACAAAACTTGGGCCCTTATTGTTCAGTCACATTTCTGCATTTCTTCCTGCAGGTTGCAACTCTACAAAGTGACCAAAGGGAGGAAATGGTGGAAGACAACAGAGATGGGACAGAGGGAGGTGAGTGCTGGGGAGCCCCTGCCTTGGGGTGTTGGTTGACAGGTGACTTTGGGGAGGGGACATCCAGAGGACTTGGGAATGCTCAGAATTCATCACCCCACCAGCATCCAGCCACAGCCCCGAGGATTTGCTCCTGGGAACACAATCCCGGGGCCACTTCAGCCGCCAGCCAGTGAAGTATCCCCGGGGAGGTGTACGGCCTGTCACTCACCAGCTGTCCGGCTTGGTCCTGGTGGCTTCCAAGCTTTCTGAGGAGGCTCCTATCACTGTCTCGACAATGCACCGAGGTAGTTTGAGGGGACGAGGCCAGGGCCCTGCTGCTGCCTCCCCTGATGGCAGCCCCCTGCGCCGTACCCCTCTGCCTAAGCACTTTGAGATCACCCAGGAGACAGCCCGGCTACTCTCCAAACTGGACAGTGAGGCTGTGCCCAGGACCGCCTGCTGTGCTGACCCTCAGCCTGAGGAAACTGAGGAGCATCTCTGACTACCCACCATCCTGAGAGACACAGGACTGAGGAGGTGGCTCTATGTGTCTCCCCACCTGCCCCCACCTGGAGACCAAACCAATTTGGTGGGGTGAAGGAAAAAGGAGTTTCCAGAAAATTCCAATAAGGAAAGACTATCCTGTGGAAGACCTAAAACACTTGGTTTGAGTGTCTTAGCATCTCTCTTGTCAGACATGAGGTTTCAAATGTCAGAGCCACACAGATGCAAGACAGGTGACTCGGGGTCAGTTCTCAATGGTCAGTACAGGTCCTAAGATACTTAGAGTCCACCCTAGTCTCTGACCTCTGAGACAGAGGTATCCGGCTGCTTTGATCACAATGGTTCCCAAGCCCACCTACCTCCTTGGCTGATTCCAGGTGACCAGTTTTTGGAGTGGCTGGCCTGGAACTTACTATGTAGAGCAGGCTGGCTTTGAACTCAGTGGAGATCTGCCTGCTTCTGCCTCTGCCTCCCAAGTGCTGGTGGACTCTGGGTGCTGATTGCCTGTGAATAAAACTATCCTGGGGCTGGTGAGATGGTTCAGGGCATAAACGTGCCTGAGGACCTGAGTTGGATACCCTGGATCCAAATCGTAAAAGGAGAGAACTGATTCCAGCAACTTGTCTGTCTTTTGGTCTCTGTGCACATATAGACAAATAAGAAGTAATGATTTTTTAATTTAATGGATATGTATTTTTTTCTTAGGCAGGGTCTCCCTGGAGCCCCAGCAGGCCTAGAACTCCCTGTGTAGATCAGGCTGACCTTGATCTCACAGATTCATGAGTGCTGGGACTAAAGGCGTGGGTCACCACACCCAGCTAGATGAGTAATTTTATCCTTAGGCATCTGTCTGCCAAGGAAGGCTGACAAGAGGCCATCAGTAAGAGCAGTACCTCTTACCTCTTTATTACCGACCAGATAAGCCAAGGTTTCTATAAAACACCCTGCAGAACCTACAGGCAGTTCACACTGAGCCTGGATCCACAGATGAGTCACTCTGGCCCTGCCAGAGCTTGGTGTCCCTGATCTGGTTCTACATAATCAAATACAACGTGGCGCAGATAACCGAGACAATGAGGCTGTGTGCTGCGGACTGTGGGAGGCTAGAGAAGGCTGCAGGCCAGCGCCAGCACCCAACAGGGGCTAAATTGAGGGAAGCCCGGGTGGCGCGCAGAGTCCGGGAGGTCTGGAGCCCAGATCCACGGCTAGGTGGCCTCGAAGCAGCAGAGGGGGGGGTTTGGGGGAGTCTAGCTTGGATCGCGATCTGGGCGAGGATTGCAGCTGGGTGCAAGATTGGACAGGAATGGGGGCGCTCCAGAAGCCAACCGCAGCGGAGCGCTCTAGCACCCGAGTGACTCAGTCCCAAAGGTGCGAAAGGGCGAGCGTATGTGGTGCATGGGATCCAGGATGGAAGGGGTGTTCCACTTAGGAAAGGGAGCTGGGGCGGGGAGCGGGGACACGCGTGGGGCTCCCAGCGGGCGGAGCTCCCAGCGGGCGGGGCTCCCGGGGGCGGGGCTCCCGGGGGGCGGGCGCTGGAGCAGGTGGAGGCGTGGCTTCAGGGCCCCGCCTCTCGCTTCTTCTCTGCTTGGGGCTCTGGGCACACCCGGACGCTGCTTTGCCCCCGCCCCGACGCTGGGACATGGGTCTCCGTCCTGTCTCGACCCCCAGCGAGCCGGCCTGGTCTGCGGCTTGATTGTTGGCCCAGGTAAGGCGGGCCAGGATGGGTGCAAGCTCCGGAGGAGAGCAAGGCACGCCCCCTCCCTCCCACCAACCCTTCCCCCTGCCCGAGGTCGCCTGCTAGCACGGTGGATTTCAACTTTTCTACTCCCTCTTTTGTCCGGAGGCCTCCTAGGTCCTTGTTCCCACCCTGGAACAGGCCAATGCCCCGCCTGCTTCAGGAACTCTCGCGCGCAAATCCTGCCTGTAGCTCAACTTCTGGTTTGGCATCTCTGTCTACTCTGCTTGCCCCAAATCAGCTCCGCGCCACGCAGCTGCCCTCCACTCCCGGTGCTAACAAGGGACCTCACCCTGGGACGCACATGCACCGTCTTCCGTGCGGTGCATGGACCCCGGCACCAGAATGATCCTCTTTCCGGCTGTCCTGCAGCTCATGCCCTTTTGTCCTGCCCTAAGCACCCCCCACCCCCTCGCTAACCACAGGTGTCCAACCCGGTCACAGATTGGTGGCACGTGAGCCAAAGTTGTAATGTAGATGCGTTTGCTTTGGGTTCTTCAAGTTAAAAAAAAAAAAAAAAGAAAGAAAAAAAAAGAAGAAGAAGAAGAAGAAACCGTTGATTCGAGATCTTTTTAAGTTTTGTGATAACATGCAGGAGGCAGAGGCTGGCAGATGTCTATGTGAGTTTGAGACCAGCTAGGTCTACATGTCGAGTCAGGGTTTCCAAAAAAGGGTTTTATGGGGTTGGGGATTTAGCTCAGTGGTAGAGTGCTTGCCTAGCAAGCAGAAGGTCCTGGGTTCGGTTCTCAGTTCCAAAGGTTTTATGACTAGATAAGAAATAGCTGCTTCCTGGTCACTAGGGAGCTTGCTTTTTTTAGGTCACCTTGGTCCTCACCACAAACATCTTGCTAAGAGGCCATCTAAGCCTGTAATCTTCAACTTCCACTCTTGTCTCTGGCTGCTGCTGGGTCCTGTGGCCTTCTACAAGGGCCACCTGTGCTGTTTTCTGTGTCCCCAGGTTGTCAAGATGGGCCAGTGCTACTATAATGAGACCATCGGCTTTTTCTACAATAACAGTGGCAAGGAGCTCAGCCCTCACTGGCGCCCCAAGGACGTGGTGGTGGTGGCCCTGGGGCTGACAGTCAGTGTACTGGTGTTGCTGACCAACCTGCTAGTTATTGCGGCCATCGCATCCAACCGCCGCTTCCACCAGCCCATCTACTACCTGCTCGGCAACCTGGCAGCGGCTGACCTCTTTGCCGGTGTGGCCTACCTGTTCCTCATGTTCCACACCGGCCCTCGCACTGCCAGGCTCTCCATCAAGGGTTGGTTTCTACGGCAGGGCCTGTTGGACACCAGCCTCACAGCATCGGTGGCCACGCTCCTGGCCATTGCTGTGGAGAGGCACCGAAGTGTCATGGCCGTGCAGCTGCACAGCCGCCTGCCACGGGGCCGGGTGGTCACACTCATCGTGGGTGTGTGGGTGGCGGCACTGGGCCTGGGACTGCTGCCTGCACACTTCTGGCACTGTCTCTGTAACTTGGACCGCTGCTCACGCATGGTGCCCCTGTTCAGCCGTTCCTATCTGGCCGTGTGGGCCCTGTCTAGCCTGCTTGTCTTTGTGCTCATGGTAGCCGTCTACATCCGAATTTTCTTCTACGTGCGTAGACGGGTGCAGCGCATGGCAGAGCATGTCAGCTGTCACCCCCGCTACCGAGAGACCACCCTCAGCCTGGTCAAGACTGTTGTCATCATCCTGGGTAAGTGGAATGCTCTCCCTGCCTGGGCCTTTGGGACCCTGGGAAACCGAACAAGTGGCCTGATAGAGCAAAGAGGAGGGGGTGTTCTTTAGGGAGGTGAGATCAGAGCAGAGACCTCCGTGCAGGGGAGAAGGAAAGAGGACAGAAACTGAAACCACATTGCAGGACCAGGCAGTCTCCAGAGGCCCCTGTGGCCAGCCTATATCGAGGAGAAAAGGGCAGCAAGCCTTGAAGGTCATAGACAGTTCATTTTCATCTCTTTTCCATAGGAAGCCATTTGGAGGTCTTTTTGTTTGTTTAGTTGTTTGTTTGAGGCAGGGTCTCATGTAGCCCAGGCTGTCCTCAAACTCCCTATGTAGCTAAGGCAGGACTTGAACTCCTGATCCTGCTGCTTCCCATTTCCCTAGGCTAAGGGGTGTGTGCTCTCTTTGGGGGTTTATTCTTGGGGGGGTGGAATGAAGAAATTGCTCAGTGGTTAAGAGTACATCCTGCTCTTCCAGAGGACCCTGAGTTCATTTGCTCCCAGTACCCATGTTAAGAAGTTCACAACAGCCTATAAGCTCCAGGGCTCTCTTTGGGGGTTATTCTTGGGGGGGGTGGAATGAAGAAATTGCTCAGTGGTTAAGAGTACATCCTGCTCTTCCAGAGGACCCTGAGTTCATTTGCTCCCAGTACCCATGTTAAGAAGTTCACAACAGCCTATAAGCTCCAGGGGATCCAAAACCCTCTTCTGGTGTCCACAGGCAGCTGCACTTAATGTGGCATACACTCACACACATAAATAAAAATCTAACTACTATTATTTTTACATTTATTTAGTGTATGTGTGTGGAGGTCAGAGGACAACTTCCAGGAATCTGTTTTTTCCTTACACAACAAGGGTCCCAGGGATCAAACTCAGGTCACCAGACTTAGCAGTGAACACCTTTACCTGCTGAACCATCTCACCAGTTCCCCTTTGGAGGTTTTAGTAGGGAGTGGTGTGTTCACTGTGGCTTTGGTATAGGAGGAACACTGCCCCACATGGATGGACTCTCCTCAGTGATTCCTTTCCTGACCCCTCCCTAACTAGCCTGTCCCATGGTAACCTCCTATCCTGACCCTCAGTAAACAGATCTCAACATAGAATCTTCTAGGGAATCTTAAAGTGACCTAGGATGGTCACTTTATGTAATGAAGTTAAGAAAGGTATCCCTGTGGCAGGCAAATTGGGAAAATGTACCTGTACCCTCTTAACAGTTCTATCCCATAGGGAGCTTGTGTGGTGTGTACCACAAGTTGGTCATGGCCTGAGCTCTGAGCTGAGGGGGTGAGCTCAACATGCTCACCCCTGCCTCCATCCTGCAGGGGCGTTCGTGGTGTGCTGGACACCAGGCCAAGTGGTGCTGCTCCTGGATGGTCTGGACTGTAAGTCCTGCAATGTCCTGGCTGTGGAGAAGTATTTCCTGCTCCTGGCCGAGGCCAACTCACTGGTCAATGCCGTGGTATACTCCTGTCGAGATGCTGAGATGCGCCACACCTTCCGCCGCCTCCTCTGCTGCATGTGCCTCGGCTGGTCCACCCACAAGTCTTCCCATTACTCCTCTGCCCGGACGGGTGCCAGCACCCGCATCATGCTTCCTGAAAATGGCCACCCGCTGATGGACTCCACCCTTTAGCAACTTGAGCTGTGGTATGGTCCCCAGCACTCTCAACGCCCACAGCTCTGGCTGCCACAGGATGCAGGGATTTGGGGTTGTCTCCATGCACCTGGGAGAACAGCCAATGGAACACAGAAATCTGGCTCTCGCTCATCTCAGGTTTTAGGGTTTTTTAGACAAACATTTTGTATGTTTACTATACATCTCTGGTATGTCCTGTGGACTGCCTCTACGTGGTGCTGTGAGTATTCAGGGTGGAAGAGGTGAGAGCTATTCCAGGCCATGCTGCCCATTGTGACAGGGTGGACTATGGGCACACTGTCTTCCTGAGGTTAGTTTGTTTTTGTTTTTTTTGAGACAGGGTCTCATGTACCCCAGGCTAGCCTTGTACTCACTATGTAGCTGAGGACAGCCTTGAACTCTTGATCCTCCTGCTTCCACCTCCCAAGAGCTGGTACTGAGACTGATTCCTTAGGAGTGCTGAGCAGCCTCTGAGGGCTGGCCTGTCTCCACTAATATGGAAGAGGCTGCATGATACAGGGCCAGTCTTTTCCCTCTGAGGTCACCTGAGACAATTAACGCAGTCTGTCATTGTGTACTAGAATTGTCTTGGCTTGAAATCTATTCAACATGGAATAGGTTTTAATTCCTCACTCTCTCGCTCTCTCTTTTTTTGGGTTTTTTTTTTTTTTTTTTTGAGACAGGGTCTCATGTGACTCAGGCTAGCCTTAAACTTGTGACATGGACTATTTTGACCTTAAACTCCTTATCCTTCTGCCTCCACCTCCTATGTGCTATGTGCTGGCTTTAGAAGTGTACACTACCATCCCCAGCTTCTGTCTCTTATTGAAGTCTTGCATCTTTTTCCTTCTGCCTCTGTCCTCTTCTCAACTGTCCCCTGCCTGTCTCCTTCTTCAAGAACCTGGAATGATTTCTGATCTGTGTGAGCCTCTTCCTCCTGCCTGACACTTTTTTTTTTTTGACCCAGGGTCTTATATTATGTAATTCAGTCTGTCCTGGAACTATGTACCCCAGGCTGATCTCAAACTGTCAATCATTTTCCTGAGTGCAGAGATGACAGGCCTGAGGTTACACAGCTTGGAAAAGGCCCAGACATGCCTGGTGGGACTAGAATTATCTCTGAGGAAGGGGCTTTGTCATCTTATAGAACCTGGACAAGTTCACCTGAACTTTTCCCTTCTCAGCCCCACAAGGCCTCACATGTGCTGTGTTCTTGATGAGCTCCCTCTCTGCCCAGAGAAGCCCCTGGCAGGCAGCATGGGCCATGAACTTAGTTTCCTGCTCCATTTCACCAGAGAGGAGTCAGGATTATGTCTTCACTTCCAGATTCACGTGCTGAGTAACAGCAGGAATTTGAACCTCTGCCTTATCTAAGGCCAAATTCTTAAACCATTAAAGCATCTGTTTCTAGAGAACTGAAAATATCACTGTCTTTCTACAGTAAATGTTCTTACTTTTCACATTGCTGGTGGTTGAACCCTGGGCTTTACACATGCTAGGCAAGTACCCCACCACCTTTTACATTCAATGAACCTAGGTTTCTCAAAGGGAGAGCTGTCCCCTCCTCCCTGAGGAAGCAAGACTGAACTAAGGGGTGAATACTTCTTGAACGTCCAGTGTGGGCAGCATGGCTCCTAGAGCCAGAGTCTCCAGAGGTGCTGACCCAGGAGCTCTTCCAGGCAGGTGCCCATGAAGGATACAAGTCCCCACCTCTGTGGAGCTCTAGACCTGTTGGACACGTGTCACTTTGAGTGTTGAGGCAACCAGCCAAATCCTGAATTGAGGACCCCTTTTATTTTATTTTATATTATATTATATTAAATGGTTTTATTTGGTCTTTTTGAGACAGGGTCTCCCTGTAGCCCCCTAGCTGGCCTGGAACTCGATATGTAGACCAGGCTGGCCCTGAACTCAGAGGTCCACCTGCCTCTGTCTTCTAAGTGCTGGGACTAAAGGAATGTGCCACTACACCTGGCTTTCTTTTTATTTTTATGTGTGTGCATGTACTGCCTTCATGTATGTAAGTGTACCTGTATTCTGTAATGCCAGAAGAGGACAGAAGAGGCTGTCAGATCCCCTGAAACTGGAGTTATGGAGTTTTTAGCTGCCATGTGGGTGCTGGGATTCGGACCCAGGTCTTCTGCAAGAACAGCCAGTGTTCTTAACCGCTGATCCAATCCATCTCTCCAGCCCCTGAAGATCCCTTTCAATGGCTTCCAAAGTCATCTTTGTCTCATCTGTTCTGAGTGGCTGCTCTTATACCAGCATCTTCTAGGTTGTGTTTAAGGATTTACCTTGTCAGCTTTTCCCATTTTGTGCGTGTGTGTGTGTGTGTGTGTGTGTGTGTGTGTGTGTGTGTGTATCTGTCTGTCTGTCTGTGGGAGTGTGTGCATGCACGTGGTCAAATGTGGAGGCCTGAGGTTGATGTCAGGAATCATCCTCAATGGCTCTTCTACCTTATTCAATGAGGCAAGGTTTCTCAATCAAACCCAGAGCTCACAGCTATGATATGCTATTCTCCCCAGCCAGCTTGCTTTGGGGAGCCCCTGACTATTGCCCTCCTAGGCTACAATTACAAGTAGGCCACTATGCCCACCTGGCATTTATGTGGGTTTCTGGGGATCCAGAAACTCCAGTCTTCATGCTTAGGAAGCAAGTGCTTTAACCACCGAGCCATCTATCTCTCCTGCCCAGCGCTTGTTGATCTTTCCTCTACAGGGTGGCATCAAGTTTTTGTCTCTACTGATGCTTTCAGGCTCCCATCCCTCTCTCCTCCCCTGCCAATCAGGCTCATGACGTGCACTGCCGGTGGCTGACTTTTTGTATAGGGCATCACTTGAGGTGGCCCACAAGTGTTCTATTACTTCCTGCTGTCAGGGTCAAGCCTCAAATTCCCTTTATCAGAGGGCTTTCCCTATTGTCCCAGCACATCTCTGTTTCTTGCTGTGCCCCCTGTGAAGTCCCCCCATTCCTGCAACCGAACCATACCACATGGTGTCTGAGTTTCCTCTCCAGCAACAATTGGGGAAGATAGACTTCCCAGCCATGCTAAGGATTCTCACTGAGCCTTCATCTGAAGTCTGTCTCTGAACAAATTCTGGGACGGATGTTCCAGGACTTTGGAGAAGGAATTTACGTCCACTCATTCACTTGAGGAGCCTTTTGTTATGTCATGGGTCCTAAACATGAGAGAAAAGACCTGTGAGGGTTTTCTCTGACTTAGAGTGCGCCCAAGAGTAGGCATTCAGCAAACAGCCTTCATTCTGTAGCTGTGTGCTAATATTTGCTAGGCTTGGAATACTATGTATGAAAAGAATGAACAAGGCTGGCAAGATGGCTCAGTAGGTAAAGGTGCTTGCTGCCAAACCTGATGACCTGAGTTCAATCCCCAGGACCCACATGGTAGAAGGAGAGAACCAGTTCCTGAAAGCTGCCCTCTGACCTCTACACATGTATTATGACATATGCACCTACCCTCCACATATGCACAAAATATAAATAAGTGAAATTTTTAAAAAGAATGAACAAATGAGGTCACTCTGATGCTGTATTTTGTTTTGTTTTGTTTTTAATAAGATGAACAGAGTTGACTTCTCTAGTGGAGGAAAGTACCCTATTCTGACTTCTTGCCATCCACACATACCTGTGCACTGTGGCCAGATGAAAGGGACATGGAAAGCTCCAGAGGCAGAACCAGCACTCTGGTAACTGACCAGAGTGGGGGGCCTATGGTGCAGTGGGGCACCCCATGGAGGCCCAAGGCTTCTGGGAAACCATTATGTAGCTATTCCTCCAGGTTGGACATGATTGCTATCATCTTGGATCAGCTGTGATCACTCACACAAGACCCTCACAAGATTGGGCCACTAAAATTCTTTTGTGGAAGTTGAGAAAGGGACATGGGGCCACTCCCCCTGCTGGGGATATAGAAGACAGTAATGATGGCTGGAGGGAGGAAACCACTTTGGTGGTGTAGCTGCCCATGAGCCACCCACACTACTATAAGTAACCCCAATAAATTCATTGGTTCACCAAGCTCGACTTGAGTGGACTTGTTTCTTTGGTCAGTTTGAACTCTCATCTGTGATGAACAGAAATAGATTCCCCAGAAAAAGCCACACAACAGGGGTGTTGGGGTTCTGAGCCTGAGGGTTTCTGGGAAGGGCATGAGTCAGAAGAACAGTGAGGATGGGTGAGGGAGGACTCTGAGGAGGATATAAGGGACTATGAGAAGAGACAAGAATTTTGAGTCTGGGACTCAGGTGTGAGAGACCTTCAGGAAGAAGGAGGGCTGAGGAGTGGGAAATCTGAGGAGATTGTTAGAGCTATGAGGAGCAAGAGTTCTGAGGAGCCAGCTGGGGGCAGTGACATAGTCTTTTCATCTCAGCACTCAGGAGATGGAGAAGAGAGGATCAGGAGTTCAAGGTCATCCTGAGCTACACGGTTGGGAGTTTGAGATCAGCCTGGGCTACGTGAGATCTGGTCTCAGGAGTTGAAAAGCCATGATGGAGACATAGTTAAGTTGGGAGAATGCTTTCCTGGCATATCTGTATTCCATCCCTAGCATTATATTAATGTAGTATTGTGGCACACACTTGTTATCCCAGCACTTGAGTGGTGGAAGCAGGAGATCAGAAGTTCAAAGTCATGCTCCACTACATAGCAAGTGCAGTCATCTTTGACTACAAAGCAAGTTCGAAAATGGCCTGGGAGAGAGACTCTGTTTCAAGAAAATTTTTAAAAATGGACTGGAGATGTATTAGACCAACTAGTTGAGTGTTTTCCTAACGTGTAAAGCCCTGGATTCCATCCCCAACACCAAATAGATGGGGTGTAGTGGCAAATGCCTGTAATCTCAGTATTCAGGAGGTAAGAGCAGGATGGTCAAGTTCAAGGTCATCCTTGGCTACATAGGGAGTTCCAGGATGGCCTGGACTACAGTGAGACCCTACCTCAAGATATTTTAAAAAAGGGGAGGGGCGGGGAAGGAATGTACTTCGTTTGGTAGAGTGCTTGACTAACATGAAGCCCTGGGTTCGATCCCCAGCTGACCGTGGTACATTCCTGTCAGGCCAGCACCTGGAAGTGGAGCCAAGACGATCAGGACTTCAAGATCATCTTTGATTACGTAGCAAATTTGAGGTGGGCCTGGGTTACATGAAAACAGCTAAAAAAAAAAACATTTTTTTTTCCTGGTCCCTAAGAGATCTGCGTGGGCCACCACAACTGTCCTCAATTTTTTTTTTTTTTTTTAAGTTCTGAGGAAAGCAGGCACTCAGAGGCAGGCCTCTGAGGAGTGGGAACTCAGATGTGGGAGGCCGTGAGGAACGGGGGTCTTTGTGGAGAAGCAGGGACCTGAGTAGGGCTGAGAACCAGGAGAGGAGGTGCAGGGGAGGCAGAGGGGAGCCACTCCGGTCTGAAGAGACGCAGACTGTAGTCGTCACTGCCATGGTAACCCTCAACCGGTTTTCATCGCTGTGGGGGGGGTGGGGGTGGGAGGTAGGGATGCATGGTGCCCATTGGCGCACGCCTCTAGTGGAGGCGTGTCCTGAGGGGAAGCCGGCGGGAATCACTGTTACCTAGGCAACCCTCAACCCGGTCCTCTGCGGCCGTTGAGAGGTCTGCTTGGGGCGTGTCACGGGGGTAAGGACAGTTCACGGCGCCGATTGGTGGATGGCGCTTCCGGGGCCGTTTCCGCAAACGATGCGCAGTGGCGGTTGGCGGATTGTCGCGGAGGGGGCGTGGCTTCTGGGGCTGCGGCAGTTGGGTTGCCGCGCATGCGCTAGTTCTCCCGCAGGCCCTGTCCCACCCTCAGCGCTTGCCCCGCTCATCATCCATGGCCGCTCCGCTGCGTCCCGCGCCACCGCCGCCGCCGCCGCCGCCGCCACCGCCGCCACCCGTCCCACACCGCCCGCCGCCCGCAGCTCCACTGAGTCTCGACACGAGTGATGTCCTGCAGCAGATCATGGCCATCACAGACCAGAGCCTGGACGAGGCCCAGGCCAGGTGCAATGCGGGCGCAGTGAGGGGACGCGCGGGTTGAGGATAAGGATGGGGACAAGTGCGGCCCGAGCAGGGAGTGATGGACAGGCTCGGCGGGCCTCGAGCGAGCGGGAGCGAGGACTGCAGGAGCTCGACCCGAACCAGAGGGGTGGCTTCGGGAGGAAAGGAGGTGTCGGAGTTAGTGGGGAGGGCCCAGCGATGGGAACGCGGGACGCTGGAAAGACCAAGACGTCCGTTAGTGGCATGGGTGAGGATAACAGGTTTTCTAGACGCGAAGTTCTGGAGATGAGGCTCGAGAATGTGTCTAGGGGACTGGAGAGCTGAGCTGGGGTGATGTGATTCGGGACCCAAGGAGAACTTTCAGGAAAAGAGTTATCGGGCAGGGCGGACATAAGGTTTATTTTTTATGTGTATGCGTGCGTGCCACATGTATGCAGGTGCCCTCGGAGGCCAGAAAAGGGCATTGGATGCCCTGCAACTGGAGTTACAGGCGGTTGTTAGCCACTCAGTGTGGGTGCTGACAACCAAACTCAGGTCCTCAAGAAGAGCATCAAGTGTTCTTAACCCCTTAGGCACCTCTCCAGTCCCTGCCCCCCCTTTTATTATCAGGCAACCCTCAGACTCATTATGTAGTAGAGGATGACCTTGAACTCCTAATCATCCTGCTGAAATAAGAGGCATGTGCTACCATCCAACCATACCTAAGGTCTCTCTCTCTCTCTCTCTCTCTCTCTCTCTCTCTCTCTCTCTCCTTAATCTCTCTCTCTCGTTTGTGTATTTGTATGTATGATTTGGAGTCTCATATTTCCAAGGAATTGACCGTCTACTTCACTATGTAGCCAAGGATGACCTTGAGCTTCTGATCTTCAACCTCAGCTTCCCTGAATGCTAAGATGACAGGCCTATACTACCACATCCAGTTTATGTGGTGCGGGGGACTTAACCCAGGATGTTCTGCATGCCTGGTGAACACTACCACCTGAGATGCAGTCCCAGCTAGCAAAAACTCTTTAAAAAATTTTTGTGGATGTATGTGTAGTGTGTGGGGAATGCCTTTTTTTTTCTGTGTGTGTGTGTGTGTGTGTATGGAGGCCAGAGGTCAATGTTAGTTCTCTTCCTGTCATGCTCCACCTTGGTTAGCCCCAGCTGGCATAGAGCTAGCTGTATAGACCAGGCTGGCCTCAGTTCCACAGAAATCTGCCTGCCTTTGCCTCCCAAGTGCTGGTATAAAAGGCATGAGCCACCACAACTGGCTTTTTTCTTTTTTTTTTTTTTTAACTTTTTCATTACATTTATTTTGTGGGATAGAGGTAGGTCACTGAATATGTGGAAGTCTAGGACAACTTGTGGGAATCAGTTCTTTCTTTATATGGATCAAACTCAGGCCTTGAAGTTTGGTAGCACGTACCTTTAGACACTGAGTCGTCTCCTAGGCCCAAGTTTCTGTATCATTGGAGTGACTATAAGATTACTGCTCCAGAAAGGTGTAGGGAGAGTTTCTGGCTGAAGCCCAGACCAGATTCTTGGCTGGGTCTCTAGAGTTTCTCTTAGGATCCATGATCTAAACACCTTTAAAATTTTTTTAATTGAATTTTTGTGAATTTCATATAAAATAATTTGATTGTACTTAAACTCCTTCCCCTGTTTGTACCACCCCTTACTATCCCACCTGTTTTCATTATATTTTTGTCCTTTCTCGTGGGTCCATCTACTGGTGCCTGGTTAACCTACCCAGATGAGGCCAGAAGAGGGTCAGATCCCCTAGAACTGGAGTTGTGGATGGTTGTTAGCCATCATATGCTAGGAACAGAACCTGGCCCCTCTGCAAGAGCAGCCAGTGCTCCTAACCACAAAACCATCTCTCCAACTCAAGAGCTTACAAATCTTAATAAGGAGTTGAGATTTTATTCTAGTTTCAATAGGAGGGAAAAAAATCAAAGCAGTTTTAAGACCATTTACTTGGACCTGGTGTCAGCAAAGCTGGGTTGATGAAATCTGCTTTGAGTTAGCTGTTTGACACCTGCTGGAATTAAAAAGAGGAAAGAACTGAAGTCCTTCTGGAGGATGAGGTTGTGTTGAAAGGGTTCTGTTTGGGGATGAAGGTGATTCTCTAGGAGGGGCACCAATGTCTGATAGTGTGGAAGGTGGAGCCACTAGGGTCCTGCTGTGAGATCAGGTTATAAAGTCAGATATGAAGCTCAGTTGGTAGAGTGCTTGCCTAGCATACAGGTGCATGCTTGGTACATAGTGACTTTGAGGCCAATCTGAGATGCATAAGACCCAGCTCACACACCAGTAGTCCTAGAGAAGCGTGCATTGATGTCCTGAGTGTCATTGCCCCTCCCCCACTGGGCCCAGGGCTTTGTACTTGTGCTAGGCAAATATGAGTTCCCCTTGCTTGTCACATAATGCTGACTCTTCAGTCTTACAGCCTCTATCTGGAAAGTTAGAAATGCTACCCAGCCTTCAGCTGTTTTCATTCCACTTTTCTTTTTAATTTAAAAAAAAAATCTTTTTTCAGGGCTAGGAATGGTGGCACATGCCTTTAATTCCAGCACTTGGAAGGCAGAGGCAGGTGGATCTCTGTGAGGCCAGCCTGGTCAACATATTGAGTTCCAGGCCAGTCAGTGCTACAGGAAAACCTTGTCTCAAAAAGACCCAACAAAAGAATGTTTTTTTATTAAGGCAGGCATCAGAGGCTGGCAGATCTCTGTTGAGCTCCAGCCCAGCCTGGTTCTTCATAGAGGGTTCCAGGCCAACCAGGGCTATATAGTGAGACCATGTCTCAAAAACATATTATTTTTATTTATATATTTAGTTTTACATTATGTGTATGAGTGTGTCTTGCCTGTATGTTTGTAAGTGTACCATGTGTGTGCAATGCCTGTGGAGACCAGAAGAGGGTGTTGGATCCCCTGGACCTGGAGTTATCTACAGTTGTTAGCTGCCATGTGGGAACCAAACCCAGGTTATCTACAACTAAGTGCCCTTAACCCCTAAACCATGTTTCCAGGCCATTTTTTTTTTAATGTATATGAATATTTTGCTTAAATGTATGTAAGTGCACCATGTGCATGCAGTGTTCATGCAGGGCAGATGAGTGTTGGATCCCCTGGAACTGGAGTTACAGACAGTTGTGAGCTGCCATTTGAGTGCTGGGAACTGAACCTGGGTCCTGTAAGTGCTGAGCCATGTCTTCATCATCCACATCGTTTTTTTTGTTTGTTTGTTTGTTTGGTTGGTTGGTTCGTTTTCTGAGACAGAGTCTCTTTATGTAGCCCACCCTAGTTAGCCTGGAACTTACTATGTAGACATGTAGACCAGGCTGGCCTCAAACTCACAGAGATCTGCCTGCCTCTGTCTCCTGAGTGCGGGGATTAAAACTGTGTGCCACCATGCCCAACTTCCTTTAGCCCCATCTTGATAGTCTTAATTGAGGGCAGAAGATCCTCCCTGAATGCCCTGGACTACCTGGGAGAAGGAAAAGCTAACTGCCACAAGCAGTTGGTGTGGGTGCATTCCGTTCTGATTGTTGTGGTGTAACCAGCTGTCTCAAGTTCCTGCCTCTGTGGCATCTCCACAGTAATAGACCCTGGAATTGTGAGCCCTTTCCTCCCCTAAGTCACCTTTGGTCAGGGTGTTTTTTCACAGCAACAGGAATGAAACTAGAACACCATGGGGCGGGGCAGGATAAGGAGGTACAGCTCTGGAATCCCAGCACTCTAGAGGCTGAGGCTAGAAGATCAGGAGTTTAAAGTCATTCTCAGCTTAGGGAGTTCAAGGCCAGTCTGGGCTACTGTATGGGGAACTCCAGGATAGCTTCAGCTGTATAGTCTTAAACAATACTGTCCACACACACACCAAAGAAACAAACAATTGCATTTGAACAAAACATGTATACTTTTTTTCTTGAACAGTTCTCTAAAGGATCTAGTATATATAACAACCATGTAATTCGCATTTGCATTGTGTTGGATACTATAATTGTATTGGGTACTATAAATAACAGATACGATTTAAAGTACATTGTTGGAGGCTGGAGAGATGGCCCAGCAGCTAAGAGTACTGGTTGTTCTTGCAGAAGACTGGAATTCATTTCCCATTATCCACAGCAGGTGGTTGTAAACCACCTTTAACTCCAGCTCCAGGGGATCTAACACCCTCTTCTGGCCTCTGTGCACTTGTACACACTAGCACATACATACATAAAAATAAATCTAAAGTACATGGGAAGATGTGTGATGGTCATATGCAAACACTACACAGTTTTGCATAAGGGAGTTGAGCATTTTGGATGTTGAGGCACAAATACTATAGACTTTGCAGCCTGCTAGTTTATCGGCCCAGGAGGTCGAACAGACTGTATCTCTTCAGCAGCTGGCGGGACCAGGCTTTTGCAAATCTTTCTGACCCAACCAGTCTCTCAGTGCGCCTGTGTCTCTTTCATAACTTTGGTATCAGTTTAGCTCAGTTGTCCATTGAGAATTTTTCAGCCCCATGTGAAGCCTCTCTTACTATTCCATCAAGTGAGTTTAAAGAAGGAATATGGGGCCTGGTGAAATTGCTCAGCAGGTGAAGGTGCTCACTACCAAGCCTAATGACCTGAGTTTCATCCCCACATGGTGGAAAGAGAAAACAAACTCCCATAAATTGTCCCCTGACCTCCACGTATACATCTTGGTGCACACACTCATACAAAATTAATAAATAAATGTAAAAACTAAAAATAAGGAAAGTGGGAGTTTTCTGTCTTGCTTTGAAGTACTCCTGCTGTATTCCGTGGCAATCCTGTACCTGGGTAGCCTGTGCTTGGCTATGGCTATGACCCTTTCTGGTGAAGGCTCATGGTTGGTGGCTGTGGCCTCCAGGCTGGGGTGACCCATCTTCAGTGGGGCTAGGGGAGCCGAGCCTGAGCCACGGCCCTTGTGTTTTACAACATGAAGCATATGGAGTTGGGAACAGTTTTTCGATCTGTTAAAATCTGCCTGCAGGTAAGCCCCTCG